ATATATATATATTATTTTTGCTCATATATTTGATCAACATGTGATATCTAATATACTCTTGAAATGTTCTTAACTACACATTTTAAACATAGAGCTTGTAATATTAAATATTTATGAATAATTTGATAACGATAAGTAACAGGCGGTCTAATAAGTCAAACAACATTAACTGTTAAGATAAATTCTAATATCATTTTAAGAAAAATGAATTATATATTTAACTTAACTTTATAAAATTGACTTATATGATGATAGTTGTTTTCTATTTATATTAATGTAAATGAAATATCACTACAACAAAATAAACTATTAATGAAATATCACTACAACAAAATAAACTATTAATGATATTTTATACTATAACAGAGTTTGCATGGGACTTAAAATTTGTAAGGTGAGAATTGTTTTCTACTTATATATATATTTTAATTATTTTAACTACGATTGATGTGAGACTTAGAATAGTAAATTATGAATCTAACTCAACTTTACAAAATCAATTTATAAGATGAGAGTTATCATCCATTTATATACTCTTTAACTATTTTATCTTTAGTCGATATGAGATTGAAATTTTCTTCCAACAAATAATTGTCGTTAATAATAATTTTTTATGTAATGAATATATTTTTAGTAACTATTATATATTAATCATTAATATTTTTATTAGATAATAAAATAGAGATAATTAATTTATTTTTATTAAATAATTATTGTTAATAATAAATTTTGTTATAGTATAAAATGAATGAGTTTTATCTCATGTGTGTAAATTAAGTCAAATTGTGCTATAACATAAATCTGTTATTTATAAAAATGAAAGATAATGGAAGTAAGCATGAGTGTTATTTTGATTTAAACTGCTTCTGTGCGTACCGCTATGAACTGAATTCATGATATATTCCCCATGCAAGTTTATACTTATTAATAAATTAATACTAACCAATAGAGGAAAGCAGAATTAGTGCCGCCAAATTTATTGCGAGAGGAACGAAAAAGGAGAAATTTGGAATTAAAGATGTCAGGAGCATTTAATTATCGCAAAGAGTACAACACTCTAGGGTCTTATCAGAGAAAGAAAATTGAGGCGTTGGAAAACATTCTTTTTCAGTTACCTCGAAACAAATGTTTTCTAGGGGGCATTTGTTAGTATCAAAAAAGAATTCGAAGATACTCGAAATACAGGGGTGCTCGAAATCTTAGGTGATTGAAAAATGACAAAGAAGTTTCTGAAGAAGATATACGAAGCCTGAAGAGAATCAAGAGATACGCGAAGACATTTTTCGTGAAACTCTCGAAATCCTTAAACCAGGAAAGATGCTGCTCATGAGAAAGGCTCACAGCCTCGCAACCTCTCAAAGTACAAGGAAATCAAGAAGCATGCAAGTATACTAATTTTCGTTGGCCACTCGAAATCCCAAGGATCCAGATATACACGAGCATACTTCGCAACCTCTCAGAATGAAGAATTTAAAGGAGACACGATTTAAGAGCGGTCGAAGTAAATCATGGGATAAGTGTCAAAGACTGCAGAACGGTTTGGGGAAGTTAATGAGCGGTTCCAGGAATTATCCAAAGATGTGCTCGAGAATGAGCCACGATGTGAAAGTTTAGAACGATTATGCATTTTCGGAGCACGTCAGATACAGTTACCTTTCCCAAATCTTTGTCTATAAATTAAACGAGCTATGCTCGTAGCAAAGGGTCAGAAAATCACACACCCACAATATCTCACACGTACTCATCGCCTGCGCATAAGGCACACTGTGCATACGAGACAGCTTTGGGTACGATTTCTCGACCACCTTTCTTTTTCTTTTTTAGTGTAGCATAGCATAGCGTAGTCTAGTGTAGTGTATTCATCTGAACCATTTTCGTTATCCGTACGAATTGTAATTCTATTACCATTTAATGAAGGATATGATTTCTACAGTCAATATACATGTCATATGTTCAATTCACATTAATTCTTACATGCATGAAATTGATTGTATAATTAGCATAAATCTTCTGATGTGCTAAAACCAGCATAGATCTTCTGATGTGCTCAAACAACGAGCATGGATCTTCTGATGTGCTAAAACAACACCCTAATTACTTAACTTTATTTGTTGTTTGTACGATTTTATTTTTTCACTGAATGTCTTCGATTCTGTCATGTCGCGAACACGCATAAATTAAAATCGTGCTAGTTCAAATAAAAAGAACCTACGAACGAAATCCTCCACAAACACCATTATAAAAGACTCCAAACAACCAAAATGACCGAATAATAAACTAACACATGACCTTCGATTTCGATATACAAAATTTGTCTAAATTCTTATTCTTATTTATTTTGACTTTTATTATTTAAATTTATCATTTATTGACCGCCATATTAAGAACATTATACACTTTAGAAGAACAATGCTACATAGTAGCTAGGAACAGTTTACGAAATAACACGAAACCAGTCAAGGAATTTTTTATTATTATTAGTTTCATAGCAATGAAATAAAGAAAAGGTTAATTTCTATGCCTAGTATTTAATGTTTAGGGTTTATAGATTTGCTTTTTGTGGTAATTCATAAAATCTTGTAAAGATGAAAATATTTGATGTGTATATAAAATCATGTTTTAAAATGTGAGAGTTTGTGGATGACGTATTTGCATTTATATAATTATATATGGCTTAAATATGTTTTTAGTCCTTCAAATTTAAGATAAATTTGTTTTTGGTCCTTCAAATTTAAAACTGTTATTTTTAGTCTATGTAATTTTTAAAAATCTTGTTTTAGTCCCTTAAGTCACCAATAACATATTTGAAAGTGACTAATTAAGATAGTTATGTAATATCAACCGGATTTAATGTGATATTTTCACTAATAGGGACACTAATAGGTAGATTTTATACAATAATATTTGATAAATTTCTTAACAAAATTTGAATATAATGACTAAATTAAGATTTTTTAAAATTACAGGGACTAAAAATAACAATTTTAAATTTGAGGGACAAAAATAAATTTATCATAAGTTTGAGGACTAAAAACATATTTAAGCCATTATATATTGAATGGCGTTGAGCATTTGCACATATAGATAGAGAGAGAGTGTGTGATGGAGTTTGTAAGCTGTATACTCCTCCTTGTGTTAGCTTTAGCAACGTTTGCACAAACTCTGCAATGGGTGGGTTCAAGAAGAAGGTCGAAACTGCCACCAGGACCTTACCCTCTTCCCATGATTGGAAACCTTGTTCAACTGGGCACAAAGCCTCACCAATCCCTGGCCCATCTCGCTCAAATTCACGGCCCAATCATGAGCATCAAACTGGGCCAAGTAACCACCATAGTCGTCTCTTCCCCTCACATGGCCAAAGAGGTTCTCCAAACCCATGACCGCTCCTTCTCAGACAAAGCAGTTCCACAAGCCGTGCATGTTCACAACCACCACAACCACAGTGTCGCCTTCTTACCCGTTTCACCTCTCTGGCGTCACCTAAGGAAAATTTCCAACCAAAACTTATTCTCCAACAACACTTTGGACTCAAACCAAAACCTCAGACGCAACAAACTGCATGATCTCATCAATGATATCCACCAAAGTAGCCTCCTTGGTGAAGCTGTGGATATTGGAAAAGCGGTTTTCAAGACTTCTATCAACTTGTTATCCAACACTATGTTTTCTTTGGATTTGGTCCACTCTGCAGGTTCTGTTGGAGATTTCAAGGACTTGGTGGTCAACATCATGGAAGAGTGTGGGAGACCAAACCTTGCTGATTTCTTCCCTGTGCTCAAAATAATTGACCCTCAAGGCATCAGGAGTAGAAACAGTGTTTATGCTGGCAAGATCATTCACACCTTTCGAGATTTGATTCATCAGAGGCTGAAGCTAAGGGAAGACCAGGGCCTTGACTCAAACAATGACATGTTGAATACTTTGCTCAACAGCCAAGAGATGAACCAAACCATGATTCAACATTTAGCTCTGGTATATATTCTCCTTAGACTGTTCAAATCCCTCATATATGGTATAAGCATTCTTTTCAAGTGTGAAACGATGGCTATATGTTGGTAGGCTTAAAAATCCATAGCATTACCCTTGCATTTGTTTTCATGTTAGTAGGCTTAAAAAGCCATAGCATATTATATGTGTCATATGTCACATGCATGACAAAACCATCGTAGGGTAATCCCTATTCATTGAGTGTCTTCTAGAAATTACTATATATATCATGGATCAGAATTTCACCCTATCTCAGTGAGACTTACGGTTCATGCATGTAGAATTTAATTAAAAAGCACCAACACGCAACAATCTAATTAATCACTACATATGTACATTGTGATGTCAGCAGCATTGAATTGATTGTGCTGGTTTTGAGTTTATTTTGTTGTTTACTAGACTTTGTTTGTTGCGGGAACGGATACAATTACATCTACATTAGAATGGGCAATGGCAGAATTGGTGCAAAATGAAAAGGCAATGTCAAAGGCAAAACAAGAGCTAGAGGAAATCATTGGCAAAGGAAAACCGGTTGAGGAATCAGATATTGCTAAGCTTCCTTATTTGCAAGCAGTGATAAAAGAGACCTTCCGGTTGCACCCTTCGGTCCCATTTTTGGTCCCTCGTAAGGCCAATACAAATGTGGAAATTGGGGGGTACACAATCCCAAAAGGTGCACACGTGCTAGTGAACGTGTGGGCTATTGGGAGAAATTCAAGCGTGTGGGAGAATGCAAAGGTGTTTTCACCCGAGAGGTTCTTGAACACCAATATTGATGTGAAAGGTGGAAACTACGAGCTTACACCGTTCGGTGGTGGGCGTAGAATTTGTCTTGGCTTGCCCTTAGCCATGAGGATGTTGTATTTGATGTTGGGTTCTCTTGTGAACTGTTTCAATTGGAAACTTGAAGAAGATGGTATGAACATGAACATGAACATGGAAGACAAGTTTGGAATAAGTTTAAGGAAGGCTGAACCAGTTAGAGTTATTCCCGAGAAAGTAATGTGATGAAATGTAGTCCATTAATGTTGAATAAAATCATGCATTGCAGTGTATGATTACTGATTAGAAATAAAATGTTGTATGTTCAACTCAACATTCAAACAATGTGTTAAGCAGATAAAATACTATACTATATGCTGTGTTAATTGGGTTATATTGGAAATAACAAAAACTATAAAGTATATGAAGAAGGTATGGACTGGACAGCATGGTGAACGGTGCTAAAATAATGACGGATTGACGCTGCTGCTAAAATAATTATCAAAATTCATAACTTATAAGGATAAAAATATATTTTATTTTATTTTATTTTCTGACTCTCACCATCACCTGTTGTGTATCCCTTACGTGTTCAAAACATGGGTGGCACATCCCCTTTAGTCAGCTAATTGTTCATTTTTAACGTTCCTTATTGTTTACGTATGTGTTAAAAACTGCTGTTCAAATTCATTTAGTCTTTTAAAATTTTATCCTCAATTTATTAATTGATTTCTTATTCTTTTAGGATGCCACAATGTTAACTTCTATAAAAAAAATATTAATGCTTACTTTGTTTGGTTTACTATGCTACCACGTACCATCAAATTTTGTATTATTTGCAATAAGGTTTAGATGCAAATATACATGAAGATAAATTTGAGACAACTATTCATTAATCAAAATGCATGAATTTATAGTATACATAATATATGCTACAAAGCTTAATTTCAAGTTTATTTTATTGTCAATTGGTATGATTTTGTCATTTGATAAAGGAGTTATATATATATATATATAATGGATTTGAATTTGCTCTAAACTAATGTCTCAACTCAACAGAAGTTCAAATTGTGACTCAAATTAAAGTGAGTAATTTGCTAGTTTAAAACTAAAATTGGAAAAAGAATTTTCAAACCTTAAAGTTGGAGAGCACATTCAATAATCACCTAAGCCTTCCTTCTGATGTCAATATTTTTAACTTCAGTTTATAGATATTGTTAGGATAATTATATCCAAAATATTGTTCATTTTAATATTAAGTCGTCATAATTTTATATTAAAAAAACTTAAAAAAATTAAAAATTGAGTGTGTATAAGTTATATTTAACCTCAACTCTTATGAGATATGTGATTTTATTTGTCATACTATAACAAAATCTCAAAAAGACATTACACGTAATGTTAGAGAGTTCCAAACGTTTCTTCTCAATCTGGTACAAGTATGACAATTGTAAGACATGCACTATTTTAAAAATTACTTTGCCAAATTTTAATTATTCATTTTTAGTAAAGAAATCAATTGAGGATCAATTAATCTTTGGCATCACAATGAAACGAAACCAAAAATCAATCATCGGAAAGAATTTGTTCAAAAACAACAATATCCAATTACAAATTCAAACAAAAGTCAACAATTACATTCTCTTGTTTACATTATTTTAAACTGAGAATTAAAACATCTAACAATTTTAAAAATATATATTATTAATCTAATAAACTGTATATGAGAAATTAAAATCTTTTTTTATTTAAAAACAAATATAAACATACCTTTATAAATTATAAAATCTCGTAATCTAATGATCATATTTATTTTAGTTATTTTTTAAGCATGGGTTCAGGTCTAGTTCCTAAGAAGATATCTGCTACAGCTGGTTGGCAAAAAAGAACAAATTCGAAACAACTGATGTGGCAAATCGAGAGAGTGCAATGCCAATATTGCTTATACGTTTATCTCACATATCATATCAACCTAAATTTATATATCGTAAATGAATAAATAGATTTCATCATCAAAAGGAGGAAAAGGAAAACAGAAAAAAAAAATCACTCTTACGTAAATAACCATTATTAATTCCGTTACCAAAACTTCAAACCCCGTCTTCTTCTCTGGGGAGAGATTGATCTCTGACATAGCTTCAAATAATTTACCAGCTACAATATGGTTAGTTGCACGCCTCTTTGATTATTACTTTCTCACATGATTTTGTTTATAATTAAAAGGAACAAATGTAAGGCTATGTTATTGATGTTTCCATTTTTTGGAATTCTAATATTATAGATCTGGTAAAGATCTCTAAATTCTTATAATCAATTTATGCTAGCTTATTAAAATCCCTTCTTCTTCTTTTTTTTTTTTTTTTCCTAACATGGGATGAGATTATCAATATCTGTCTGAGTTTAGTGCACCGATTTAATGCTTTTCCATTTTGCTTTGTGGGCATTATCATTTATTTTGTTACATATAAACATCAAAATTGGACACAGTTGGCCTTCTCATCTATTAACACATGTTGGTGAAGCATATTTTATAGCAGAAAATACAAAAGTGAAAACAAGAAGACGAGGCCTGTGTGATATTCGTTCTTTTCATCCTTTCCTTCCTCCAGAAATCTCTGAAATCAGGAAACGTGAAAAAGAGCATGACATTTTTATAATTATTAGTGAAAATATAATTAAAAACAAAAAAAAAATGTCTTTTGAACAAAACATACTTAAATAATAGAAATATACATGGGGTGCAAAGAGTAAAATGAGGAGAATCTGCGAAATGAAGAGCATACAAATGTCAATGCACATATTTCTTAACTTTTAAGTTTTAACCATGATTTTTTTTTTCTGATAAAGAACCATGATCTGGTTTATGAACATCAAGAAATTTCTGTTTTGACTTGAAATTGCTAATCAATTTGTCTTCTTTGTTTGTTTAACAGGTGAGATCAGTGAAAGTTAGCAACATCTCTTCGGGTGCAACCGAGCAAGATTTGAGGGAATTTCTTACTTTCCCGGGAACAATCGAACATATTGAAATGCAAAGGTTTGTCTATACTCTACATCATATCAATTCCATTATCTGTATTTGTCATGTCATGAGGCCATTAGATGGCACTAACTTTCTGATAGAACATTTAGTATATAATTTCTCTCATTTTTCAGTGACACCGGAGGTTCCCAAGTTGCACATGTTACCTTCAGTACTCCAGACGGGGCTGAAACTGCAGTTCTTCTCTCGGTAGATTCGTTTCTCAGTGCCTTCTGTACAATTTTGTTGTTAACAAGTTTTCTCTATCTGTTAAACAGACATTTTCTCTTTGTTTTTTGAGAAAGCATTAATTCTTTTGTCGCATAATTAACTTCATGTGTTTTTTTTGAAGAGCTAACATGAAACTTTTGTTGGCGTCTCCAGGGAGCAGTGGTGTGTGGACAGTCTCTAACCATAGATTTGGCTCCAGAATATGCTCTCCCTGGCTCTACTGCATCTGTACTATCCATTCCCTCTTACTTTCTAACTTAAATTCCTGGGAATACACCCTAACATGAGAAATTATTACATAGTTCGAAACTATGACATATGTATAGTCTTAACCAACGAGACATGTAGCTAAGTTTTTTATTTACAAGAAAGAATAAAATTCAAACTACCAGTTATGTGGAGATTTGTTGACATCATAGTAATTTGATCTTAGACCATGTAATAATTTCTCTTCTGACATATTCTCTATTATTGATTAAAATTTATTAAAAACAATAAAATCATAAGTGTGTTAGTAAATGTTTAGTGTTACTTGAAAAATCTTGCAATTTCTAATAAATTTTATTGCTTCTGATCAGGAAACACAGACTAGTAATGATGAGAATCCTGAATCTGGTTCTGGTTTGAGAAAGGCAGAGGATGTTGTAACCAGCATGCTTGCTAAGGGTTTCATTTTGGGAAAAGGTGCATTGGACCGAGCAAAAACCTTTGATGAGAAGCACCAGCTTAGTTCCAAGGCGACAGCAAAAGTTGTTTCTTTGGACCAGAAGGTTGGTTTAAGTGAAAAGATCAGTGCTGGGACAGTTTTGGTGAATGGCAAGGTTAAAGAAATGGATGAGAAATACCAAGTATCTGAGAAGACCAAGTCTGCAATTTCAGTGGCTGAGCAGTCAGTGAGTAGTGCTGGATCAGCCATAATGAAGAACCGTTATGTGTTGACTGGGGCTACATGGGTCACAGGTGCTTACAACAGGGTTGCTAAGGCTGCTGAGGAGGTGGGACAGAAAACTAAGGAGAAGGTTTTGGCACAGGATAATCAAGGAAAGACTGAAGAAGGTAATGTCCAAAACCCCACGTCTGAAACCACCACACCTAATGAACCCTCCAAACCTGGACCTCATCAAGCCACCACGGGTGATCATCCTTCCAATCCTGTAACAACTCAAGCTTTGACCACGGGTGATCATCCTTCCAATCCTGTAACAACTCAAGCTTTGACCACTGGTGATCATCCTTCCAATCCAGTAACAACTCAAGCTTTGACCACAGGTGATCATCCTTCCAATCCTGTAACAGCTCAAGCTTTGACCAAGGGTGATGTTCCTTCCAATCCTACAACAACTCATGGTATGACCACCGGTGATCATCCTTCCAATCCTGCAACAACTCAAGCTTTGACCACGGGTGACCACCCTTCCAATCCTGCAACAACTCAAAGTTTGACCACAGGTGATCATCCTTCCAATCCTGCAACAACTCAAGGTTTGACTCTCTGATATGCAAACGCCTGTCTGTGGAGTTTGGGTTATATTATATGAACATGTTAGTGAATATATGGGAAGTTAGATGGTATATATCGAATAAGTTACTGTACTGTAAAAATAAAATACAACTGAAGAGCTTCTGTGTATTGATTCTTCTCTGAGAGATGACTATTTAAGTATGACTAATCATTACAATGATTTGTATTCCGCAAAATAAACTACTGAGATTACTCTAATTCAGAACAGATTGAATGAAAGATACATTTTCCTCCTCTCTATAGAATTGCATTTACGATCAGGGATCACTAAAACAAACACACTTTAGAGTAGGGTTTGTAACACACTTTTATATTTACACGTCAAACTAAAAAAAAACAAGCTACACAAAGTAGTGGCTTTGAACTTGATGCAGATCAAATCCTTCAGATGTGCAACCACATATGCAGAGTCGTACTCTCGTGCATAATCGACTAAGTTATCTATTTAGTTGTCTCGTTGACATCTCAAGTTATGTTTTAATGTCTAACATCATTGTCTGATTTTCTAAAGTGTGTCAACAATTGACTGGTTGAAAATCACTAGGGCTTTAAAAATCTTTTAGGTTAAAATTTACAAAAATGCTAATTGTTACTAATTAAATATCCAAATATTTACACGAAGTGATTTCTGACATATCTCAACTTTATATATACATATATATATATATATATATATATATTTCAGCCTGACCACCGTTGGTCTGGGGGTGTTCCACCGAGGTCGCAAGGTGTTTGATCCCGAGTTCGCGGAGGAAGTCCTCGAAATCCTATGCAATGAACTGTCTGCCATTGTCAGTGACGAGGGCGTCAGGAATTCCGAACCTACAAATGATATTTTTCCAGGTGAACTTCCGCATGTTCTCGATGGTGATCTTGGCGAGTGGGCATGCCTCGATCCATTTGGTGAAGTAATCAATCGCTACCAGGAGGAACTTTAGTTAGCCCTTCGCGGGGGGGAATGGCCCGAGGATGTCCATTCCCCACTGGAGAAAGGTCATGCCGACATCATGTGGTGGAGAGTTTCAGGCGGCTGCCGGTGTGCGTTGCCGAATTGCTGGCATTCCTTGCATTTTTGGACATGGGCTTGGCAGTCCGACTTCAGGGTGGGCCAGTAGTACCCAGCTCGGAGTACTCTGGTCGCCATTGAGCGCGCGCCGGAGTGCATGCCGCATATCCCCTGGTGAACTTCCCTGATGACATAGGCTGCCTGAGACGCCGTCA